CTGCATACATACCGTTCCAATCGTTCTGGCCTGATAAGAAATAACAACAAGAACGTCACTGCTGTCGGTTCGCTGCCATATACTTCAATGTCTCCAACCAACTGGTTGTGGAGCCTTTCGGATCCCAATCTGGAAGGCGCGAGACACCTAATCTACCTAATCGCTCTGCATTTCTTCATGACTCGTCTCCACGTCATCTGTTGACCTCCGCGTAGTTTCCTCCAGCCCGGAGTGGCTACAGCGAATAAAGCGCGGTGCGGCAGACNGCATACGCAGTACGTGGCCTAGCCAGCGAAGCCTACTAATCTGAATTCGGCGTGATAGCAGGTTTATCCCTGATAAGCCACCAAACACACGACGACTTACCTCCAGATTATTAACCCGTTCTCTCCATTCCACATGGGCTTAACTACGTAAACACCGATAGTCGAAAACTTCTAGTCGACGAATATATTCTACTTGCAAATTCAAGGTCTCACAACCATAAAGCAGAACTGAACGAACGCTAGCGCAATATACACAACCTTTCAACTTCAGTGAAACGTCGCAACTATGCCAAAGGTGTTTCAGTCCTGCATATGCTACTCGAGCCTTGGAAATGCGGACGGTTATTTCCTTTGCTGCGATATTGTCGTTGGTCACGCAACTATCTAAGTAGGAAAAGTAATCCACCTTACCCAATACCTGACCATTTAGCTTCAGAGTGGGAGTAGGCGAAACCCAGTCCTGTAGCAACGCTTTGCATTTTGAAGGTTCAAAGAACATACCGAATGTGGCAAATGCATTTGTCGATCTATCAAGTGTGCTTTGCGAGTCTTCCATACATTCGAACAGACAGACGACGTCATCGTCGCATAGCTTTTTTCCTCCTGCCCATTCAATATCTACGTTTTGGAGACCACTGAGTGCGTCCTCCAGTATTTCGTCTACTAACGGGAACGGCGAGAGAGGACACTCTTGACGAAAGCCGCTGCTGGTGACGAATGGCCCACTTAGTTCATCATAGACCCTTACACGACCAGAGGTATGTGAGTACAGTGACCCCAGTAGTTTAGAGTACTTCTCGGGCATTCCTTTTCGAAGAAGGCAGCCCATCAGAGCTTTGCGGTCAACTGAGTCGAAGGTTCTTTTCAGGTCAAGGAACACTGCAATCGTTGACGAACGGTGGGTATGACGCGGCTCAAGGATTTGACTCAACGTAAAAATTTGATCAATACATCCACGGCCAGGCCGGAATCTGGCTTGTTGTTCACAGATGTTGATCTCTCCTAAAGGCGTCAATTGTCGAAGTATAACCGAAGCTCTTTGGTGACGATCGGGAGCAAACTTATCCCGCGGTGGTTTTCGCAATTGTTGCGGGATCCTTTCTTGAAAATGGGAACGATCAATGATTCGCCCAAAGATGAAGGAATGCGCTCTTGCATCCAAATGTTGCGCGGCAACGTAGTAATAGAGGTTACGAGGTAATCACCTCCCATCTTGAAAAGTGGGAGGGAGCTCATCAGGTCCTGCTGCCTTTCCTCGCTTCAGAGATTGAATGCAAGAC